AGAATCATGCTGGTATGTTGCTGATCATTCCGTGAATAGAATCATGCTGGTATGTTTCTGATCATTCTGTGTATAGAATCATGCTGGTATGTTGCTGATCATTCCGTGAATAGAATCATGCTGGTATGTTTCTGATCATTCTGTGTATAGAATCATGCTGGTATGTTTCTGATCATTCCGTGTATAGAATCATGCTGGTATGTTGCTGATCATTCCGTGAATAGAATCATGCTGGTATGTTTCTGATCATTCTGTGTATAGAATCATGCTGGTATGTTTCTGATCATTCCGTGTATAGAATCATGCTGGTATGTTTCTGATCATTCCGTGTATAGAATCATGCTGGTATGTTTCTGATCATTCCGTGTATAGAATCACTCTTGTATGTTGCTGATCATAAGATATTAATTTTGTATTTTTCAATGTAGGCTACTTTTGGCAAATCAGTGACATCCACTGGGACAAACAGTACGAACGGACAGGTGATCCTCTAAATATGTGCCATCTTTCCACGAAGGACTTTGAGGATCATGATAATGGACTGTACGGAAACTTTAGATGTGATAGTCCTTGGAAGTTAGTAAAATCTGCTATTGGTGCTATGAGTGAAATTCATCCCAAACCTGATTTCATTTTTTGGACAGGGTAATTTTTTTTTCAAATTTTTATTTCATTTTATACCATAATAATTGAACATTTGTGTTATATATTAAATGTACAGTAGGTGGCACCACGTGTAAATCATATGTTATATATTAAATGTACAGTAGGTGGCACCACATGTAAATCATATGTTATATATTAAATGTACAGTAGGTGGCACCACGTGTAAATCATATGTTATATATTAAATGTTCAGTAGGTGGCACCACGTGTAAATCATATGTTATATATTAAATGTTCAGTAGGTGGCACCACGTGTAAATCATATGTTATATATTAAATGTTCAGTAGGTGGCACCACGTGTAAATCATATGTTATATATTAAATGTTCAGTAGGTGGCACCACGTGTAAATCATATGTTATATATTAAATGTTCGGTAGGTGGCACCACATGTAAACTAGATAATATTTATGTGTTGATGTCATTATTCTGCCTGTGTTCTAGATATCTGGTGACTTATGTTGTGACTGTGTGGTCACCCATGTCCTTACTGTACAGTACGGTTAGCTGTATCCTGGCTATGTGGTCACCTATTTAGCTTTTAGTATATAAGAAGGTTTAGTGGAAACTTAGAAATGGTGCAAATGTATATTCAGTTGTAAAACATTCTGATAGGTAGCACCAAGAAAACTATTATTAATCATTTCCAATTAAAGCCAGATACGAACATAAATTAGAACCCGTTAATAATTATAAGCAAGTTAATATTTCTTTTCACTTACAATGATTAGAATACATTGATTTATCATTTGGGTACGTTTGCTGTTTGTTATTGGTTTGGTTGTAAAAAATATCCTGAGGAATATTTTAGCCAATAAAAAAACTATTCTTTAGAATACAAGCAATATAGAAAATGTTTTTTTTGCAACTGATATTGACTTCACAAATTTAAAAATATGAAATAGTTCCTTTTAAACAAAAACAGTTCCTGACGTTAATTTTAAGACTCACCATTTATGTGGTGCTTAAGTAACATTTCTTCACCAGAATTAAGAACAAAAAAAAAACTGCCCCAAAATAACTATTCCAGAATAACCAAAAGCAGTCATTTATAAGCTAAGGAATTAAATTAAATTAAAGGTCATATTTAAATGAAAAACTTAAAAATGTGATCTAATTTATGTATAACCTTTTTTTGGTATTCATAACTTTTATATTTTTACTTTAAGAAATTTGGTCTAAGAATACAACGTCTTAGTGCTCACAGTATTAATTACATCAATAGTGACAACGTTCCTCACGTGTATGACCCAGAACCTGATTGGACAGAAGTCCACAGCCTAGTGAAGAACATCACCCACCAGCTGACCAAGAAGTTTCCCGGTGTTCCCGTCTACCCAGTGTTAGGTAATCACGACAGCAGCCCTTCTAATAGCCTGCCTCCGAAGAATAAGACACTGTATAAGGAGTACCTGAGCAGGAGCGACTGGCAACTCCTCCTGCCGAATACCACTTGGGATACATTTGTAACAGGTAATGACTTATCGAGAAGCGTGTTTAGACAAGTTTAGGTGTATTTAAAACAACTTAGAATTAGAACTATTTTTGATTTAAGCACATCATCGGTACTTGGGCCTTTCTTCATGGGTTTCTTCAAGTGAAAGTGATACTTGTTTGAAGCAAATTATTTATCTCAAGTATTGTTAGTATTGTGGAAACTTAATGTTTATTTTGATTTTTTTTTTTAAATTCAAAGTTGCGTACTT